TGTTACTACATAATAGTTTTATGGCCCTGTGATAGACTGGCGATCTGTCTCAGGTCTTGCATGCAAGTTCTCGTTAAAAAAGTGACACTGCATGTTGCTGTCATTTATCACAGACTGTGATTATCAAAAATAAATTTTCCACTTATAAAAAACTATTGATTGAAATTTTCATTTAATAAGCTAAAATCCTTAAAATGAATAAACATTCATGAATATTTGGTAATTATGATCAGGACTCATGAAGATTTTAAAAAATAGGTCATTTAAAGTGAAAAATAATACTAATATGTTACTTTTTTGGCATCGTTTTGACTTGGACATGTTTGTCTCAATGAACCTCTGTAATTTAAGTTGCAGATATCAACAACGGTATTTTGACTAGTGAGAATTTTTATTACAGATATTATAAGGTCATTCTGACGAGACAAAACAACAGTCGAAGACATCTGTAATTCAGTTTGGACAAGTCATAATAATCGCAACGAGCCGGAGCTGTAGTGTATGATGCTGTTCATTGCGAGGCTTCTCATTGGGTATTGGTCCAGTAAAGAATTTGAACAGTGCTAGCAGAAGCAATGGCAGATGCTGTGGTGGATAAGTTTTAAACAGCTTTGGCTTCTGGCTGCTCTGACATGGTGATAAAACTGCTTGTCATATGTGGTTATGGTGGCAGCATCACAGTATGTTGGAAGACCAAGCCACCAGCCCCCTCTACGACTACAGTTTGACAAAGCCAAATTCCAGTTTGAGATATCTACAATGTCTGGAATAGCTCAAACTGAATTAAACTGTACATATCTGAAACTGGAACTAAAAGTGTTTATACTTCAGCTGCAGACATTCACAATGTTAGCTGTAGACATCTGTAAAATATGAATGGCAAACATTACAAAAAAGTGACGACCAACATGCCCACTCCCTTGTAGGGTGGATTGAAGGATTCTCCCAAGAACATGAAGGGTCAATCACTGACAGAACTCAAAACAGAATCTGGGTGTACCTTATCAAAAGGTGACAGTCCTTTGATCCGGGCTCTGAAGTACCCAGCTGCCAGCAGAAGTTCCAGGATCTCTGACAACTTGACGCTCTGCTCTTCATCTTCTCGAGTTTCCACCTGGAAGTCACAACCACTTTATAGCTTAGACGCATTATGAGGCCTATCGAAAGTTGTAACCCCAATTAGATTATGTATAGTCCCAGATATTTTTTTTTATTTTTTTTTTACAAAACGAAGAATAAAAAAAAATGCTTTCAATCTATTCATCTGTCATTAATCTCAAGTATTCAAGTCCCTGCGACATAGTTGATCAAAAACATTGGGATATTACTTCACTGTTTGTAGGAGTCTGACCTGAAGTCAAAAATATTTTTCTGCCATGTTTTTACATCATGGAGACTTTGCTGTTTCACAGTCTCACAGCAGGATATTTGCAGCAAATATTATGTGTATGGATGTTTCCCAGTCTTAAGATATATAGTGATCTGTCTAATCATTAAAGTAACTACCAACATTTGACAACAGGTAGCTGAGTGGCAATGAAGACACTTATTTTTGTTATATTGTAAGTTGCATAGACAAGCTACTTGGTTATTATTAGTCATTTATTTGGAGTATTGTGTCATGGGACTTGGGCCATGAAGCTAGAAGGTCCTGGGTTTAAATTGCCTGGTTGGTTGGAGCATGACTCCATGTTCTCCAGGTACAATGGCATCCTGTCACAAACCAAAGGCTTGCATGATAGATTAATTGGAGATTTTAAATTGGTCATAGGTAAAAGGTATGTGCTGTAATGAAAAGGCGATCTGTCCAGGGTGGCCCCTGTCAGCCCAGCAGCTCTCCATATTGTAAAGAGAGTATAGCAAATGGAGAGATTCCATGTGACTTCATGGCTGAACTTTAAATTAAATAAAAACGTATGAAAACATATTTTCAAGACACACCTTTATACGTGATTACAGTGATAAATCATATAATGTGGACGAATTCCAAGGCACACAGTTTGAGAAACACTGGTCGAACTGTGACAGTAATGTGGAACATGGGCAAAGCATAGAAAAACAGAGGTATTACCTTATTTTGCCAAGAGAACAGCTTTTACATTTTAAATTCAGTTCTACTCTGAAATGACTTGAAAATAGTTTAATTATCAGGTGAACTCTACAGACTGCTGCAATGGGCTAAGTCCCCAATGTGCCAAGTTCCCAACAACGCTTGTGGCATTCACGTTTCAGTCTGCTGTCAGAACTTCACCTCATCTTACCGTCGAACTGTTGCTGAACTTCCTGATGAGACATTTAAACTGCTAACTTCAGTTGACCAGCTACAAGCTAACTTGCTCGTGTAACTCCACCGTCAGCTAACCAGCCACAATGTTAACTTTTATTGACGCAGTTTTAGTTTAAGAAAAAAAACGCGTTAAAAACTGTCTTTACCTGAATGACGTTGCCTTCTTGGTCGTACTGGGCTCCTATTTTCGACCCAGTTCTCATTCTGTGAAAAACGGACGCAGCAGCCGCCATGTTGAGCCGCAGTGCTGCTGACACGAGTCACATGACAGCCGCACGTGACTGGCGCTGCTGAGTTTGGCGACAACAGAAACACGAAAGCATGTTTTTGTTTTTTATCTTATCAAGAATTCGGAAGCATAGCCTTTAAAAAAAACAAAACAAAACAAACAAACAAACAAAAAAAACGCTGGACAATGGCCGACTGTGACAATTAGGAAACAGAGACAACGTAGTGCACATGCGTAACCCTAACCCTACACCAGCAGAGGGAGCACTGACATTATTACACTGCTGGTCAGACGGCCGTGAAGAGGAGTTTGGGACAAAGAGGTCAAAATAAAGGCATTGCATTTTTATTACTAAAGAAAGCTTTTGGTTTTATATACAGATATCACACTTGCGACACATTAAAGTCAGTGGTGGAATGAAATTTAGTACTGTACTATCAGTGCAAATTTGCACTCCTATTTTATGTTACTTTATGATTTTACTTCAGTATTGTAACAGTACTGCATTTATTGTTATTATTTTTACTCTGCTGTGCATTTATTTCGCTGCTTTCCTTATGGTTGCAATGAGTTGTAAATTCTAATTTTACTGTAAAATAAATATGATAAACTACCACAAAGTATGACGTAGCTATTTATTAGGGATTAACTTGTCCAGCAGTACATAAAGTTATGGCAGGGAAAAAGTGTAAATTACTTTACAGCCTCAACCTGGTGGAATATTACTGACACTTTCAAATGAATAGGGCAGTAAAAACGGTATACAACAGAAGCGAGTAAAACATTGTGCAGTATCACTTAATGTCAAATGATTCAAAACTGTATCATCTCTCAATAATTACATTATTTCTAGGTTGGCAAATACAGTATTTCCTCTTAAGATCAGTCAAAAACAAATACTTTAGAAAGACTATATTGAAAATCCAAGGCCCAAAGTAGAAACCCAATGCAACAAAAGAGAATACATTGACACACAAGTTAGAAAACCTGTGATCACTGAAACAAAACTGAGCACACCTGTGCACTCAGTGTGTCTTCTGTAATGGTCATTCCTTGGGGGGAGGTTATCATATATTTTGCGACAGTGCTGCTCACATTATGGCGACAGTTTTACGACAACGACCTGGTTTACGGCACACGTGTGTACATCACGGTCCAGTCAGCTCCGGTGGTGTTTAGTGCAACATGGCTGAAGTTTTAAAGAAGAAAGTGAGTAAAAAGGTCTTGAAAAAAAGCCCAGAGGTGACGGCAAAGCCAGAGGTGGGCTACGATGACGGCGAAGCGGACGAGGATGTAAAGGGAGCAGATGAAGACATTACTAGTGAGGAGGAGGACGGCGAGGATGATCGAAAACGTCAACATCTACTGGAGGCCATCAGCGCTCTCGGGGGTAAGAGGAGGAAAACTCTGGGAGAGAGATCCGAGGCGGCCATGCAGATGTCGGAGTTTATGGTCCACGCGGAGGGTGAGGGTGAGAGAGTGGAATTGTCGGACCTCATCCACATCATGGAAAAAACCCCCACCGTCCCTGCAAAGACCAAGAAGCAGCTGAAGAATCTGCAGCGCAGTAAGAAGACCATCGAATGTCCTCTCAGCAAACAGGAGAGTGAGAGGATTCAGAGAGATGTGGCTTTTCAGAAGGCAGCTACAGATGTTAGCCGGTGGAAAAGTATTATTTCCCAGAACCAGAGGGCCGAGCAGCTCGTGTTCCCCCTCAATCAGGAGCCTTCGGGCCCCAAACCCATAGAGAGAGTGGTGACTGGCTGGAAAGCCCAAACCCCACTTGAGCAGGAAATTTTTGCCCTCCTGTCTGCCAACAAGCAGCCCATTAACGATCCCATTCTGACCCCCACTGAGGAGGCTTCCATGAGGGCGATGAGTCTGGAAGAAGCCAAGGTCCGCCGCGCAGAGCTGCAGAAAGCCCGGGCTCTGCAGTCCTACTATGAGGCCCAGGCCCGGAGAGAGAAGAAGATCAAAAGCAAAAAGTTCCATAGGGTGCAGAACAAAGCCAAGCGTAAAGAGTTCCTGAAGCAGTTTGATGAGATGGTGAAGACAGACCCAGCTGCTGCCTTGGAGGAGCTGAATAAGATGGAGCTGGCCAGGATGCAGGAGAGGATGTCACTAAAGCATCAGAACAGTGGCAAGTGGGCCAAGTCAAAGGCTATCATGGCCAAATACGATGAAGGGGCTCGCAAGGCCATGCAGCAGCAGCTGGAGGTAAACAAAGACCTGACGCAGAAGCTGATGACCTCACTGAACGATGAAGTAGAGGAGGAAGCAGGTGACCCAGAACTGCTGCCCGATTTTGTGAATGATGCTGAGCAAGAACTGGATTCTTCGAATCCTTGGATGAGAGGGAGGCTTTCTGAAGATCCCACAGAGGAAGAGAATTGTGACACTGTGGGTCAGACAGCAGAACAGTCTGGAGGGGTAGGAAATACAGCTGAAGAAGACGAGGAGGAGGAAGCTGAGGAAACAGAAGACAATGTGATCCTCAGAGAGTTTGACAGCAGGAGAAAACTACGTCAGGCTATGGAGGATGACGCAGCAGCAGTAATGTCTGTAGATGTGGATGAGGAGGAGGCGGAGGAGGAGAGCAAAGCTTCAGCTGAGGATGCAGATGCTTCTGACAAAGAAGAAGAGACGCTTTCACAGTTCAAAGACCTTTTCCGCGAAATAGCAGAAGGTCACAGCCGGGTTGAAGCAGCAGCTGTTGCTGGCCACGCAGACACTTCAGCTCATCTGGAAGCAGGAGTGATGAGGATCAGGACTGCGGGTGATGCTGAACTCCTCACTCAGGAGAACTCAGCCACTGATAAAGAACCTTTTAAAGCCCAGGAGCCCCCAGCCACAGAAAACCTCCCATCTTCAACAAAAAAGGAAGGTAAAAGCAGAAAAAGGAAGAAAAAGATTGAACTGAACAAAGTTCTCACCAAAGAGACAAAAGTCATCAAAGTCTTGCTTGCGCCAACTATTGAGGACTCTGAGGAGTCAGAAGAAAAGCTGGACCAGAGGGGTCTCATTAAGGAGGCTTTTGCTGGAGATGATGTAATCTCAGAATTCCTCAAGGACAAGAGGAAGCAGGAGGATGTAGGGAAACCTAAAGTGCTGAACCTGACACTACCAGGATGGGGCGAGTGGGGAGGGACGGGCCTCAGGCCATCCCGCAGCAAACGCAGGAGGTTCAGAGTCAGGAGTGCACCACCTCCACCCAGGAAAGATCAGCATCTGCCCAGTGTCATCATCTCAGAGAAGAGGAACAGCTGCATCAGCCTCCATCAGGTGAACTCAGTGCCCTTTCCCTTTGAGAACCACACGCAGTTTGAAAGCACCATTCGCTCTCCCCTGGGCCGCACCTGGAACACAGAGCGGACTGTTAAAAAGGTCACCAAGCCCAAGGTGGTCACCCAGCTGGGCACCATCATTGAGCCTATGGCTCAGGAGGAGCTGGTGAAGGCAAAGGTGTCTGCAGGAAAAAACAGCTGTGCAGACTCACTGAAAATGAAACATTAACAACCGCTATTACTTTGATCCAGAGTAAATTAAAATGTACACAGTGACGCCAGGTTGTTAGTATTTCTCCACTCATCAGCTGTTCTGGGGAGATTGAGAGATAACTTCACCAGTTTAAGATACGCCTGAAAAACTTGCCCTTTAAATACAGTATGGTCTGTATGACATCGTTTCATTCTGTGAGAATATCTGAGCATCAAGAGAGCTAAAATAATGTCCACTTCTTTAGCTCATCTCTTTCCTGGATCTTTTTATGTTGTATGTTTGGTATCAAATCCGTGAAATCAAATGAAGTCAACTAATTAGTTAAGAATATTTGAAAATAAATTTCATGTTTGGAGTTAAAGATGCTGCAAGCTTGTAAGTTGTGTTTGTACCAGGTTCACAGCCTAGCTGTGTGGGTTACTCTTTGCAATGTACAAGTGTGTGCTTTCGGTACACATAGCTAAAGCCAATACAGTCTGACAGCAGTCCTTCATTAAGGACTTATCGTGTTCACTTTTGTTGTAACTGAGTAAAGTGTTGCTGAATTTATAGTCATTTTGGACACTGTAGCTTGTGGTGCTTTTGAACTGTAGACTCAGTTTTATACTAACAGGTGATTTTCTGTTTTTGACCATCCCATTAAATCAAAGAGGACAGGCTAAATATCAAACATATTTCTGTATAATGTTCATTCCTTCATTATTACATTACATTTTAGATTACAATGTATTGTTTTTACCTTGATGGGCCTAAGAAATTTGCAACTGTGATTTATTCAAAAGTGGAACATTTCTCAGAAAAACAGGCAGTTAACCTAACAATGACTTTTGGCCTGCCTGACTGTCAAAGCACAGTGAATTTAAACAGACAGGAGTTTTGCCAAATACATATATGATCCTTATTGCCCATGTGGTCGTGCTTGTGAAAGATGCAGATTTTCTGCTTTCCATGCTCATAGTGTAACTCCAGTGATGTTGGGAATTCTGGTGTCTGAAATCACAAACAGCCTGTCTGTATTTTTCTTTTTCGTATTCAGCAGATTATTTTTCAGGTTACATTTTTTTGTAAAGTCTGCATGCAGATCACATGCTAAAGTGTGTGTAAGTATATGAGCAGTTTCAACCAGCTGATATTTTTTTGTGAGCCACAAGTGAAACAGCCCACCATCATCTAGTACATGCACATTTGTATACACTACAAATTGAGCAAATTTTTAGTCAATATTTGTCTTTCGTGTTTTTTTTAAAGCAACACAAAGTCGTAGGAATCTTCCTGTTGCCAGCTAGATTATTACTGGTTTGTCCATCAAGCTTTTACCAGTGATTTTAAACGACTGCCAGTTGGACCAGGACCGATCGCCCCAGAAAACAAGAGCAGACTGATCTCAAGGACACCCACATTTTGTCACAGGATCTGCAGGTAACTGTGCATCTACTGCTGTGAAAGAGATTGCAGGAATTTAGACTGTATGGAAGACGTGCCAAGAAAAAGCCGTTACAGTCAAAATAGATGATTACAGTTTTTCCTCAATCGCTTTGGTACATTTCTCAAATCATCCTCAACATTTCCAAACAGTAAGTGCATTTCTCAAAACAATTCGTACAAATAGCAAAACACCACTTGCAAAAGGCAGTTACTTGCTCAAAATCCTTAGTTCATCTCTCAGAAGTAAATATCTGTGTCAATGTGTATGGATAAGACAGTTAAAATGTTTAGTCATGTTGTCAATATAACTCCTCTGGAGGGATGTTTGATTTAAATATGATAAAGTTTTGATGACAATTATTGTAAATTGTGAGATGCACCTTAGTGTATGTGGGAGATTGATTGCAAGAGACTGGACAAGATTCACATTTAGGCTTTTACTGTTTGTACTGTAATTTGTTGACAGACCGTGTCACTGTGGTACAGAAAGGAAAAGACAGCACAGAAAAAAAAGCAGAAGCAGAAATGTGAACATAGGACAATCTCCTTAGGGAAAACTGTACATGCAGTGCTGTTCGAATTACAGTGCAGTCCTCCTATACCTCCTGACATTCCTGTCTGTGGGGCCACAAATTCTCATCCACATCACATGAATATCTTCTCTTGCGATGCAGGAAAAGAAAGAATCTTTTAGAGTGTCTTATCCAGCCTCTGCAGGCATCTGCTGTGATGTCATCACACGCTGCATCCATGGCAGCCAGAAGGCTCATCTGTGTATGTGGCTGGTAATCATATACTTCCCATCTCCATGCTGAGAAAAAAATTCTCAATGGGGTTAAAGAATGGGGAGTAAGGTGAGAGGAACTCCATCAGCAACCTGTTGTGGGTCACAAACCTTTGCCGGATGACGCTGGAGCAATGGAAACTGACATTGTCCCAAACTGTCACATACTTTGGCAACTCATCTCCAATCTGAGCCCTCTCTTGTTCAGGGATGAGGTCCCTGTAGAGAGAGTCTAAAAAGGAGATGCTCTGTATTGTATGGCCCAGGTGGAATACTGTAATACTGTATGAAGCATTACAGAAAGTATACAGCATTACAGGACAGTGCCTATTGTTAGACTACATACCCGTTCAGTCGACGACAAGTCTGAATGATTGAGGACACAGTTGTTTTCCCAACATTTGGCTGCACCCTTCGACCAGCCTCGGCCATTGTAAGTCCATGATTGAGAATGCGTTGATCACTGATTGATCTATGTAATGCGACACACATTGTGCTTCATTATATTAGGAAAAACATTAGATTCATCTGGGAGCAATTTACCAATTCAGGACAGATTTAGAAAAAAAGTCTCATGGAAATGTATAGAAGTATGCTTGACATATTCTGACAATTCATTCAACCATTCTGTATGTAAAGACTTACGCAATGAACTAATGATTAAATGTTATGGGGGTGAGACTATTCAACAGAGACCCACAATAGTACATTTTGATCAACATGACATAAGCAATTGGTAGTGTAGGAAACAGCAGAGAACTGCACATAATCATTTGTATTGATGTACCAAAGCATTTAGAACTTGTTCAAAGGAATGAGAAACTGCTTTCTTGATGTGCACAAGTGACAATGATGTGAAGATTGAACAAGTAGTTTTGAGAATTTCAATTCTGATCTGAGAAAAGCGACTACGAAAAACTGCAATGCAAAACAGCAGACAGGAAAACAAAGAGTATTTCTTTTGGGAAACAACGTGAATCAAAGTAGTTACAGCAGTAACAGCAGACATGTTTGGGGCAGACTGAAGACAGCTTTAAGAGCAGTTCAACCCAAATGTAAAGTCTAGTGATGGTGTTGATTTGTTTCCTCAGAGACTAAAGAAAAGAAAGAGATTTAAATCCCATATCAAATTGAAACTTGTATTTACATTGCTTTTCAGTGCTTTAGTAGCTACATACTGTGTTATGTCTATTTGTGGGTTTGTCACTTTACGGATAATATCTTCCTGCTGTCAGTAAATATCAAAACACATTGCTAGCCTACTGGTGTTTGAGACATTTCACAGCATAGTGGAAAAATAATGCAATTGAAACCTATTTAAAAGGTGTCAACTTTGTTCCCCAGGTGAGTGGGTAAGTTTCTACTGCATTGCCTGAAAGAGGGAGTGGTCATGGCTGAAGCATCTAACAGCAGCATTTTACAAGTGGGCGCCTGCTGCTTTAGCTGTGTTTCTCTGCTAATGTTCAATACATTTGTAAGACCATGCAGCAGTGTCTAAAAGAAAAGCCATTACAGTTGGGTTAAACCTTCACACATGGGTGAGAGTGCATGCTTTGGCACCTGACGTCTCTGTATTTCACATGATAGACACTCTATTAAAGTGGGGGATACTGTAATGGACTATGCATCAGTTCAGGTAATGGTTGTCAGCCTGAGTGCCCGAGAGACAGTGGAGAATTCCATTAGAAACCCTATAGTTACTAAATCAGTCATTCTCCACCTTCCTCTCTATTGTACCGCCTCTTTGGGGCAATTACTACAGCTTCATACAGCTTTCAACAATGAAAAGAGACCCAGTCCTTGGACTTACTCCTGCCCACTGAACTGCAACAAAATCAGACAGTGATTCTCTCTCAAATATATGAAGATTGCTGTGGCTGTAAATCAGAGATCTAGGGTTCGGAGGGGCCTACAGCTCCCATGATGGAACATGTTTTTCTCTACAGAGTCCATTTGTGAGATCTGCGTACATATTTGTTGTAAGATAAAGTAGCATTTATGCCTCGCAAGTTGGTGAGCTGGAGAGCATTGAAAATGCAACACTAGCTTATCTTCTGTTCCCTGTTCAATTCTTGTAGAGTGTTATGGCAATGAAATGTGACAGAAAACAACTGTCATCATACAAAGTAGTTTCACTGATTGGAAAACAGTTGAGTGGATTGAAGTGCCCGTTAACAGTGGCTTTTTCCTGCACATGGCAGTAGACATTCATTGCGACAGTTTTTTTTACCAGTTGCCTTGAAGATCTGTGCCTGAAACAATTTGAAAGAGCACTCTTTCCCATTTCATCCTGTAATCCAAGGCCCAACTCCATTCCCACCCTGACAGGTGTAAGATTAACTTAGTTAGGTGCAGAGCCGCTCATGCACACCAAATTAAATTAATGGAACAAATTTCCCTCCTAATTAAGATGAAAATACGTGTCAGTTGTAACCTTGCTGAGCACTAATTATGTACAAATGATTTATCATCTGTTTCATCCTGAATAGCAATGGGCTCACCTCTCTGATAGCCTTGGCTAGCTGTTAAGAGATGGCCCCTGATTAACACTGACAGGTTGTGCTGGAGAGAAGCTGCACGCTGCCGGCCAGCCAATCAGAGCCAGCCTGAGCTCAGTCTCTCCTCCCTTCCATTAACCTACATTGAATGTGCAGCTGAGCATCACTCTACCTCAGCTCTCCTTCTTGTTTCCCTCCTCAGAATGAAAATAAAGTACCTTCCAAAAGGAGTGTGTGTGTGTGTGTGTGTGTGTGTGTGTGTGTGTGTGTGTGTGTGTGTNGTGTGTGTGTGTGTGTGTGTGTGTGTGTGTGTGTGTGTGTGTGTGTGTCTGAGGCAGGCTGATGAAGCAGGGAAGGTGAGAGTGGTAAAAACTGTACCAGGGGATGAATCCCACTTGAGACTGAATTAGTTTGTGTCTTCATGATCCAACTAACAAGAGGGAGATGAGGCATCTTTGACAAACTCTCCATCTCAAATAACAAATTGAATAACGCAGAATACAGTCAAGCTCATACATCAACATTTTACGCCCAGTGGCAGATAATTGCTTCGAAGCGCCCTCGAACAAAAACAAGCATGGATCATCCTAGTTCCAGCCTGAGGCCAGCAGGTGGTGCAAAAGGTTAAGCCTGCCAGAGACCAGTCTGGAAATTCCTGTGGGCTAAAATATCAAAACAAACAGGGCTTCATCATATAATTACACTCTAACTGGGCCATTCCATCTTATTTCTGCCTGCTTTGAAAGTAAAGATATATTTCAATAGGCAGCAGCTCTGATTAGCATTAGAATTGAAGTCCCTTGTGATGCTAAGGACACACTAGCCAATCTGTAATCATTGTTCCGCAGGCTTGCTCACAGGGGATATAGCCTGCTTTGTCGCGAACATTCAATATGCCACACACATGCTGGCATAACTTCCATGGTGCTGCCAGCAACAGGGAATTTGCATTTCCTCTTCATAGTCCCAAGAATTTGTGCAGACAATGATGTACCACAAATGAGTCCTGTCTTGTGTCCACTGGCTTGAGATGAGAGATGCCGTTCCTTCCTAACTGCTGCTAAAGACTGAGAAAAGCTTTCCCATTCTAGGTGTCATTTCCTTCTTGTGTGATTCTTCTCCTGTAGTTTCCTATGTATATTTCAGTGTATGTGTGTGTTTGTGTGTCCTCAAAATGTCATCATGTACAGGTGTCAGTTTCAGCCATTAGGGACCATTTGACTTTCTATTGTGATTTGGGCTTATTTGGCCTACACCTTCCGTTGCCACAATTTGCTTGTTGTAAGCTTCATTGTTGTGGTAAATGTCAGTGTGTTCTTCGGCTCATTTCTCTTTTCTGTTTTTAGTCCATCATGTCTGTCCAAACCTGGCTATTCCCCGTGCTGCTAAAGAGACAAGGCTAAGTTGTTGTTAATGCAGATTCAGTAGCATGTCAAGCACATGCAGACAAAGGGGGAATGTCACACACTTTGTGCTGTATGCCCTTTGAATCTAGGTTAATGTAACAACTGAAGCATAATTCTTGAAAGAAATCTTTATATTAATTTTGACATATTGCTCCTGACAACAAACAAAGGATCACAATGACCATGCTCTATCTCTGGCTTTGCATAAATTCACATTCTTAGTGAGAGAGATTAATTTTAGAAGTTTTAATTTTTACCCTAAAACACAGAGTACTTCTCCCATACCTGTGACATACTATATACTACAACACAAGAGCAGCAGCCATTTTCTTTGTTGCTCCCACACCCTGTTTCCATTTTGTGCCTCAATCAGCGGCTGCGCTTTTAGAGACTTGGCAAACAGTGTGCACCTCATCATCATGGCTGTCTGGGAATTGGCGAATGAGGCAGAAAGAGAGGGGGTTAGAGGTTAATTACAGACAACAGAGAGGTCACAGGGCCTATTATTTTGGAGCCTGGACCTGCAACGGTCCAATGGGGATGACATTTACGACGAGATCCCGGCCCCACCCCTTCGTCACCATCCACACCCTCAACCCACCCTGCGCACGCCATCACTCACATTTATACAGAAGCTGCCGACAGTGTTCTGATAATGAAAAGGCCCTTAGTGCTTGGCACAGGCAGGATGATGAATTATGTCCCTGGCTGTTCCCTGGCTCTGTCAGGGGGCCTCCAAGTAGCCCTTGACAACTAATTGAAAGACCCTATACCCTCCCCTTATGTACAAGACTGCCTTTATCACTTAAATTATTCAGGTTAAGTGAGTCTCCATTGGGACTGTAAGGAGTACAATGTAGAGCCTGCCGAGTCATCGTATTTTGGGGGTATTTGCACCCATGAGGTATGTGCCTGAACCACTTGACTATCGACACACCCTTGACATGTATGTTTAAGAAGTCAAAAATCACTAGTGACCTTGAGACGGGAGAGAGAAGTCAGGACATATTAACGGAAGGACTAACAAACTATTGTTTTTGATTTGTTTATACTTAAAGAAATATAGTTTATTATTAGCATTAAATATTCCTTTAATTCTCTGTCCTTTTAAATGCTTTTTGGATTTTTGGAAAGATATCCTTTTTTTGTTCTTATTTTTTTAAAACAATGCATGTTTATCATATTTTTTTATTTTACAATTGTGAAGTCTTTATACCAGCAACAAACCAAAAACAAGGGAAGTGTAAAAAACAAAAACAAACAAACAAACAAAAAACACAAAACAAAACAAAAAAGAGTCACTAATATTCTGGTATTCATTTAATCAGATTGTTGTTGTGTTTAGTGGCGGGAATGCAACTATGGGATGTAAATGTCTTTTATTTTTTGGGGGGAATCTTTTCTTTGTTTTTAATCTAATAACGTCTGTGTAAAAGTACTAGGATATAACTTAATTGATAGCAAAGGGTAAAATGTGCACAATATAGAGGCAAATGTTAAGAAGTAAGAAAATCAAAAAAGGAGCTATTCCTAATTTGTAGAATGAAATAAAATATTAAAGAATATTAAGGACTGATGTCATTAACACTATATACATTATATACATTGCAATACCTTAGACTATATCAATTGTTTGTACAAATATTTACACAAACAATGCAACTCCTGTAACCATGATGTGAAACTGTAATGTATACACACCCTATACATTAAAATTGCATGACTATGATGAAAGTGTGATAATTTAATCTTAGATTTAATAACAGTGTTTATAAGTTTATATTATGTAATGTAAAATGGGCATGTGAGGCAGCCACAGTAGCATAATGCCTTTAACTGTTGTATTTGCCAAAAACTGGCCCAGATGTATTGTTGTCTTTAAGTAGAAATTAAATATTAGGCTCAGCATGGCAAAAATCCTGTGTGTTTATTCAAATTGTAATGAGAGCAGTGAACCTCACACATGTACACGAATGTAGAAGCTGGAAGAAAGACAGTGCAGTACAGAACAGCTTCATGTGTTGCAGTTATGCTCAGATACTCACATTTTACCTCAAGCAAGGATTTCAATAAATACAAAAACAAATAACTTTGCATCATTCTTTAACAACCAGTAGCCTTGTGTTTTTTGTGTTTACGTTTGTTTGGCATTATCATAGGCAATACCAGCAGCTTGCTTTAAGCTTTTTCTACGTGAATTTTTAAAATCTGAAGCATGGAAACTGCAGTTAACCTAATAAAATTAGGTAAGAGCTATGGTGGAATGAGAGACCATGGATATCGTGTTTATATTCAACCCCTTGTGCAGCCAGATATAATCCCCGAAACCCCATGATGAACAGCAGGCCTCAGTGTGCTGAATACAAAAGGGAGTGGATTAAGAGTGATCAAGTCTGCACTGTGACTTTCTCGCCTATGCATGTCTATAAGCCTATTAGACCACAAGAGCACATCAAAAATGTTTTGTAGGCATCTGTGCGAGTAAGTGAGGAATCTGGGCAACATACAGCTGCTTATTTTCCGTGGGGGAAAACTGAAAATGATTAAAATAAACCGAGCTCTCCAAAATACTTTATTTAAATGATCTCTCAACTATTTTTCAGGTGAAATCAGCACGTGACTTTTTAAACTGAAATGTAAATACTTCAACTTTACTTACTTCAGCCATCCGCGCAGCACTAGTGCAGAAATCTTTTTTTTTGATAATCCCTAAAGTATAAACTCCAATCACGTGACACGTCAGCTTTGTATAGCGTGGTTACGTCATGGCTTTGGACGCTGATTGGGTCTCCATTCAACCGGAAGTAGTCGCTGGAGGGAGAGAGGACAAATTGGTGTTTTGGTTTACTGCAGCCTGGTATCACAGTGAGCTGTTTCAGATGGAGAATTGTATTCCTTGACGGTCTCTGTCAGCATTAGGTAAGAGTTGACTTTGACTCCAGCCAGTGTGCTACACCGGACAGCGGCTAATGGCAAATACATTTTAAATAGCTATTTAGCTGTTACACATAGTAAGGCTAACTAAAGTTAAGCTAACGTAGCATACCGTCACAACCACTTACGAATTTGTCTTATGATTTAATCGAGGTGTCTAATTACTTCTTTTATTTTTTATCTGCAAGTAGTGAACAAAACAACAACAAAACAAACCGTGTTGTGGACGCTGCTTACTGATGAGCGAACAGGCTAAGTTCATCATGCTAGCACAGACTGGGGCTTGATGCTGTGACAACCTATGAGCATGCTCGTTTAATATTTTAAAATTTAAATTGAAAAGTTACAATATTAAATGTGGTGACTGTATAGCTCAAACAACCATAATGAGTGTAATGAGGCAGTATGTGTCATGTGTTGCCCCTGCCCGATTGGCGCAGACTGGACTAAAGGCTAGTTAGCCGCCGTCGGTGAGTGGACTGGGAGGACGAGGAGCACATTGTGAACCTAAAGTTAAAAATTCCATTATAACTGTGGAGCATTTACCACTTAGTGCACAAACTAACTCAATTCAATTAATTATCTAACGTTTTCTCGTCATTCATTGAAACAGATAACTTGCCAACTGTTGTTGATGGAAAACTTGTGCACTTACATATCAGAAAGTACCACAATACTAAAAGTAAGAGTAAAAGTCATGTAAAACGTATTATTATTTTGAGTGAGAAAGTGTATGCAATGCACAGCACAAGGCCAGCATACGAAGTTTTGTATGAATCTGTGTTTCTCTGATGACACTGCACAATCACCTGTATTACAGGAGGAGCTAATGTCATTTCGAGCTAAACTCTGGAGCTGGCCCATTGGTGGTGTGTGTGTGTGTGAATGGGAAGGGCCCTGGTAACAGGCTTCAGAACCAGAATCACGTTTTTTGGGCAGGAGCCAGTAGCATAGTCAGAAAACATGAAGTGGGTGGACATGGAGAAGACCTTGAGGTGCAGTGTAGCCCATTTTAGACATGCACACACGTCTGAACTGAGTTGTCAACACACAGCACAAGCTGAAGTTTGTTCCTTTCAGCTATTTAGAACTATTCCCTGTGAGTTAGTTATTACCTGCAACATCAGACAGCAGGGAAATCCATATCAATAGCATTGATACTTTTGTTAAATTTGTAAAATTCTAAGTTATCCCAGAGCATGAAGAACAGATCTGTCTGGATCAGAACCATGGGCTCTCAGTTTCACTGTTTAAGAAATTAGAGATAAACTGGGCTGTTAGTCATTTGAACAATTGGATCAGCTGCTGTTAGTTTAGGTTTAGTCTGTTGTTGCATTATTATGCACTATACATCATTTGGTGTATTGTCTTGTCTTGTGTGAATAACAAATATTATGTGTGTATTGTGGCTGTCTCCATCGCTGTAGGGGTGTTTCTGCATGAGGCCATTAGGAATATTAATGGAAACGTGACGTGTCTGATTGACTAGAATGTGGTCACTTTAAGGGATTGATGTTTCGTATCCCATCTCTGAAAGTATTATTTTCAAAATTGACAACACTAAGCTAACCAATACAGGCATCAGCCTTCTGTCTTCGCATTTTATAGAATGGCCTGTCACTCATCAATAGCCATGCAAAACCACAGGCAGTTGGCAGACCCTACATACATATACATAGGCAACAAAGCACACTTAAAACAAACAAACAAAACCCTGAGAAGACTGAAAACCACTGACAGGTGAGGTGAACAACATTGATTTTGTTAAATTTTGTTAAAATAGCCCCTGGCAAGGGTTGGAATATATTAGGCAGTGAACAGTCAGTAATACTGGCTGGGATAAAAGGGCGTAAGAACACATAGCGCATTGAAGTTTGTTGTGTATGGGGCTGCAAAGCCGGAGGTGGGTTGAAGTGCCCATGCTGGCCCTGTCCACCACCGAAAGAGCCTGCAATGGGCAGAACTGGACCATGGAGCAATGGAGGAAGGTGGCCTCGTCCAATGAGTCGGCATGAGATTTTAGTTTACATCGTGCAGCTGGCTGTGAGATGCAAATCACATACACTCCTTCATGCCAACAGTATCCCCTCATGGCAGTGGACCCTCACAGCAAGATCATGCACCCTGCCACACTGCAAACCTTGTTCCGGAATAGTTTAAGGAACATGACAAAGAGTTCAAGGTGTTAACTTGGCTTCCAATTCCCCAATTGCAATCCACTTGTGTTGGAAAAACAAGTCTGATCCATGAAGGCCTGACCTTGCAGCTTCCAGGACTTAAACGATGTGCCACTAATATTTTTGTGCCTTAAACCACAAATTCCTGAAATTAATGTTGGATAGGTAATCTAATAAGCTATAGTATTTGAGTACATTGTACAGTTCCAAGCAGAAATATTCAACCCCCTCACCTCAAAAGATATTATTGTGATGTGGATGAAACATAATGAAAATAAATGAAAAAAACCCATTTAACAAAAACAACAAAAAAATTGATATGTATTTGAGTTATTTTGACAACAGAAGTTGACTTAACTTTGAATTTCAAATGAAAAATGTAACTCTTTTGCATTTGTATGTGAAGTATTATTTAACCACCAACTTCAGTACTTTGTGGAACGTCCTTTAGCTTTTAGAACTTCTAGCAAACATTTTCAATAAGTGCTGAAAAGCTTGTTACATCCCTCAATCAGAATATTTTCCCATTCTTAATGTGCAAAAGCCTCTAGCTCACTAAAGTTTGATGGCTTCAGTACTGCAACTGCCTTCTTTAAATCCTGCCAAAGATTTTTAATCGTATTTAAATCTGGTGACTGAGAAGGCAACTCAAGGATCTATTTCTCATCCAAGCTTTGGTTGACTTGGAGGTGTGCTTGGGATCATTGTCTTGCTGGAAAGTCCAATGATCACCAAGGTTTAATTTGTCAACCAAAGGCATCATGTTCCTCTTTAAAATGGCCTCGTATTTCTGGGAATCCATGATGCCAGGTACAGTTGAAACCAGAAGTTTTCAAACACTGTATAAAAAAGACACATAACATATTTTTCCTCACTATTAGACGTGAAATCAGACTAAAGTGTTGCTGGTTTAGGTCAGTTAGGATTACCAACATTATTTCTATTTGCTAAATGCCAGAATAATGAGAGAATTTTTTTTGAAACTTTCTTCAAAGTCAGAAGTTTACACACATCTCCTTAGTATTTGGTAGCATTGCCTTTACACTTTATGACTTTGGTCAAATATTTTGGGTTTCCTTCCACGAGCTTCTCACAACAATTTGATGAATTCTGGCCCATTCCTCCTGACAGAACTGGTGGAAGTGAGTCAGGTTTGTTGGTCTCCTTGCTCCACATACCTTTTCAGCTCTGCCCACTAATGTTCTCCAGGACTGATATCAGGGCTTTGTGATGGCCACTCCAAAACATTGACTTTGTCCTGAAGCCTCTTTGTAACTAATCTGGTGGTATGCTGAGGGTCATTGTCCATCTGAAGACCCATTGGTGACCCAAGCTTTAACTTCCTGGCTGATGTCTTGAGATGTTGCTTCAATATAATGTTCTTTCCTTATGATGCCATCTATTCTGTGAAATGCACCAGTCCCTCCTGCAGCAAAACACCACCACAACATGATGCTGCTACCCCCGTGCTTCACAGTTGGGATGGTGTTCTCAGGCTTCAAGCTTCCCCCTTTTTCCTCCAAATGTAACGATGGTCATTATGGCCAAACAGTTCAGCTTTAGTTCAATCAGACCACAGGACATGTCTCCACAAATGAAGCTCTTTGTCCCTGTGTGCATTTACAAACTGTAATCTGCTTTTTTATGTTTCTTCTGGAGTAATGTCTTCTTCTTCTCTGAGCAACCTTTCAGCCCATGTCAGTACAGGACTGGTTTCACTGTGGATAATGACTCTCTCTGACCAGCTTCAGCAGCATCTTCACAAGGTTTTCAGCTTTTGTTCTGGGGTTGATACGCACATGTCTCACCAAAACACTTCATCTCTGGGACACAGAACCCATCTCCTTCCTGAGCGCTATGATGGCTGGATATTCCCATGGTGTTTATACTTGTGTATTGTTTGAACAGATGAACGTGGAACCTTCAGGCATCTGGAAATTGTACCCAAGGATGAACCAGACTGGTGGAGGTCCACAGTTCTCTTCCTGATATCTTGGATGATTTCTTTAGATGTTCCATGTTGTCACAAAAGGAAGCAGTGTGTTTGAGGTGTGCCTTAAAATACATCCACAGGTGTGCCTCCAATTAACTTAGATGTTGTCAATTAACCTATCAGAAGCTTCCAAAGCCATGACATCATCATCTGGGCTTTCCCAAATAGATTGAAGGCATCGTAATCTTAGTGTATATAAACTTCTGACTTTGAAGAAAGTAATAAAAAATTCTCTCATTATTTTGGCATTGAGCAAATAGAAATAATGTTGTTAATTCTAACTGACCTAACACAGGAAATGTTTTGTCTGATTTAATGTCAGACAGTGAGAAAACAAAGGTTTTATGTCTTTTTATGCAGTGTATGTAAACATATGGTTTTAAGTGTACATGATCAAGATTGTCAGTTCCTGCCAGTCACACAGGGGAAGTGTTCTTAGTTTAGCCTGACTGAGTTGATAAGGGCCCTTGAAGAAACTTTGGGTTTTCTTCCATGGCCAGGCAGGTTTGCAGCTGTTCCATAAGTTTTAAACTTCCATATAGTGCTCCCAATGGTGTCTCTTGGAATGTTAAATAGTTTGGAAATCTTCTTCTACCCAAGGCCCTTCTGGTGTGATGAAGTAATCTCCCCTCTCAGCTTTTGTGGAAGCTCCTTTGTCTTTCCCATGATTGCAACTCACCTTGAATACCTTCATGCATGGGGTTTGTATATGCATCACAGCTGAAGCAAATGAAGGATCATTATAGAGTTCCCAAAGGCTTGATCGTGTCTCAACTCCACTCTAGGCCATAAAAACTGTCAGAAAACTTTAAAAATAACAATGTTATATAGGGATTCAATAAATGTGACATGGCTATCTTACTGTTAAACACAATTTTTCACATTTTCTGTGTTGATTTTATGTGTCACTCAACTCATAAAGAAGTCATCCAAAGCAGAATTTTGCTCTTTGAAAAAACTTTAATTGATAAATCCTTAAAATCTTTGGGGGGTCGAATATGACTGATTGCAACTGTAAGTGCACTGGTGTTCTACTGGTGTTCGGATTCTCAGCTAGCGAGACTAATGAATGTGAATGTTGTAATATTGTTGGACAGAGCTGTAAAATGTCCAAAGCTTCGTAATGTATCATGTCTTTAATCGTGTATTTTTTCAGTCTATTCTGATTCTCTGCCTGCTCTTGTTTTACAGTTTTGGAATGTCAGGGAAGGTCACTGAACTTACAGGTGGATAAAGACATCACGCACGGTTTCATATTTTCCACTCTAAGGCTTACGAATGTCCCTAACACTGACAGCCATGAGTGACAACGCAGTGACCAGCAGCCAGCAGCAGCGGTTGGGGTCTGGAGAGGTGCAGCGTCATTCTCAGGGACCCTATATCTCGGTCATCACCAACAGGTCAGTTCTATGACTGCTCTACCTAAGTTCACTGTAAGAGGAACAGCATGATGACCAAAGGCAGGAATATGGTATTAAGCCCACAACTCTCAGAATGTAATTTTGGTTATCTTTGCCTTTCGTGCACTTAGCTGTGTAAGGATGTAGAAGTCTGCTGTACATAAGATATAGTAGTACAGTGTCTTAATACACAATCTTTATACAATCCTATTATGTGCTACTTCACACAAAAATAAAAAACTCATGGAGCAAGACAGTAGGAATTTTCAAAGTCTCCTGACTGGTTTTTGCTCTGCATTGTAGGACCACCAACCTGTTGATTCGAGGGGGCATGCTGTTCTCTGTGGGCGTCTTCCTTGCCCTGGTGCTTAACTTACTTCAGGTGCAGAGACACGTCACCCTCTTTCCCCCTGATGTCATCAGCAGTATCTTCTCCTCGGCCTGGTGGGTGCCGCCCTGCTGTGGCACAGCCTCAGGTGTGTGAACATCCCATTCCTCAGTGGACATAAAAGAAGTCCAGTTTGGTTAATTTTCATCTTTAAATTCAGGGAATGGGAATGATAAGGGGTAAGGAAGAATTTCGAAACGGGGAGAGAAGTCCCCTTGGTGTTTTATCCTCAGCTGAGGGAGGAAGAGAATTCTGGAAAGTAGTCCTTTTGCACAACACAAATACTTACCAGCACTGCACAATGCACAAATCTTTTCAGCTGTTGTGTGGGTATTCCAAAGGGCAGCAAAATTACAGAAATATTGATTAAATTAACAGGATCGACTGTACTATTGACATTTGAAATGTCCTTATAAAAACATCCATGTTGATAAAATCACTTGGTTGCTCCCTCGGTAAATCTAATATTAGAACACATTATTTTACTATTTTCAAACTGAACTTTGGTCACCCACCTATCTTGAGTGTGCTGCAGGTACCTAGTAGCATCTACTGCAGCCTGCATGTGAGCAAGTGTGGAGTTTAACCTGTGCTTAGTTTATAGGAGTTATTTCAGATAACCTCCACGAAAGGTTTGGTGACTAAACAATATATTCTCTGATTTTTGAAAAAATGTAATATAACAAGTCATTGTCAACCTTTACATCAGTGTAAAAACTATGTATCAGCATTCAGTGTTAATTATTACCATACTGTACCAAAAGAGGGATGGAGAGGTGCAACCAATTCATGTCTTGATGTTTGTGTGTTGTGAAATGCACCTAAAATGAGTTTGTTTCATCTTGATGTGCCTATTTGCAGCTAATTATATAGATTCAGTTGCATTGTTTTAAGGTATTCTGTGTTAAGACAACAGAAATATTTTCAATATATATTGATTGTCTGTTGTTCTTTAACATAACTAAGCCTATAGAAACATGAAAATAGGCCTTCTGAAAGAATTCTAAGACTCTCACATTAGGGTATATTTAGCAATTAACAGTTTTTACCATATTAGCTGTACTAATTAACTTTATCAGTATTTCACAGATCCTTGGGTCATTAAATGATATATTTTCACTATATGCTGAGCTGGACAGGGGATGCACAATGGCTTGGTGATTAGCACCGGGGCCTCGCAGCTAGAAGATCCTGGTTCGTCCCGGTGAGGACACCTGGGATCTTTCTGCGTGGAATTTGCATGCAGCGTGGGTTCTCTCCGGCTTCTCCAGCTTCCTCCCACAGTCCAGAAACATGTTGAGGTTAATTGGTGATTCTAAATTGTCTGTAGGTGTGAATGTGAGTGTGCTTGGTTGTCTGTCTCTAAGTGTTGCCCTGTGATAGACTGGTTACCTGTCCAGGGTGTCTCCTGCCTTCACCCTGAGTCAGCCGGGATAGACTCCAGCCCCCCACAACCCCAGTGAGGATTAAGGTGTATAGATAATGGATGGATGGATGAGCTGAACAGAACTTGAGAGTTAAAGTTGTTAGATCCTTGCTTTTGTTGTATCTGTTGTCAGATGTATGTTGCTTTGGAAAAAAGCATCTGCAAAATGAAATTGTAGAATTGTAGTCCTACCACGACTCATGGAATTTTTAAGAAAGCATATGTAGACGATGCCGGAGTGTAATTGCACACAAATGTACACACAACCTTACGTATAAATGCACAACATGCCCAACAGCTTTAACTGACCAGCATTATTGAAATGTTGGCCTCTAGGTATGAAGCTGTAGATGGAAATGCAGAACAACACCACCTGCTCCCAAGCTGCTCAGCACAAAGCACATCAGCTCGAGGCTCTCTTCCTCTCCAGACACTGCTCCTCCTGCACGACCCTGCTTTCACCTCTTGCTAGCACATAAACTGACAGTGCGTTGTGTCCCAGGGGAGGGCTTCTGCATTCTGTTGACAATGCAAAAATACATTTGTTTTGAAGCCTCATTTGTTACATCAGAGATTATCTGGATGCAAGATGCAATAGAAATCAGTCCAATTTATTCCTGTTATTCAAAATCCCAATTAGCACTGTCTGAAATGTGCCTTTTGGCTCATTTCTGGGGTCAGAAATAAAATAATTTTCACCATGTGTTGAAGTGCATTAAAAACTGAAGTATTTTGTCAAGAGGCAAAAGCACACTTCGGCTTTTCCCGTGATAACACACAGAGTCATTTCTTTAAGTGAGCTGACATAAAGAAATGACCCTACAACATATTGTAGAGCAGCGAAACACATACTTAGTCACCCTCAAAGGGGGTTGTGGAGGCAGTGTGGGAACAGATGAAGTTTAGATCATAGTATTTGATGGTGGCAATAAAAAGTTGTACTCGTGTCAAAACGTCTCTCTAGGCGTCAGAGCACTGACATGCGAAAGGCCCTCCACCCCTACTAAAGAGGAGCAAGTTACTCTAACTTGGATGTCTTGGTGAATTGGCCATATACACTATAATCACTTCTGCTGTGGTCTATGTGTGTCTCAATGTAGTATCTTTATGTGGCCCTGGGTGATAAAACAAAATTGATACATACTGGAAATAGATGCTTAATTAATAGCAAAAAAATTACCAGATGGCGGGTTTGATAGTTTCACTTAGATGCAAGCCACCATTGTCGCACATACCGAAAATGTACAGGCCAGTACTACAAACAAACCCCAAATGTGTTCCGTCTCTGACTTGTAACAGCCTGTCATGTTCCTTATTAATGGAGTAACGTCAGGCCTTCTGAGATTCCACGGACACCCGGGCCTCTCCTCACCCTTGTCTGTGCCCCCCTGGTGGAGGCTGCACCTGATGGGGCCAGCAACTGCCATTTCAGGACACTCTTAGTGGTCAATAAATACCAACAACCCTGTGTCCCCCACCACATCCACCTAAGCGACACACTTCTGGTGGCCTGCTCTCAGGCTGATGGACGTGACATAAGGGTGTGCATGGAGGTTGGTGTGGTGTTGCCGTTGGGTTACACCAGCTCCAGGCCAGCCACTCAACCTGAGCCATGTGCAGCAGCTTTGTCTTGTTCACCCTCCGTACACCTCTGGGTTTTTACTTTGCTTTGATTGTCTTACTTACTTTCTTTATTCTTTATTTGCTTTTATTATTAGTTTTCCTTTATTCATTTGTTATATCAATATTAAAATTGTTACTTGTGAACTTAGAAAATAAGCTCAAATCATTAAATTTAAAGTAAGGTGGACAAATTCAAAGTCATCCTTTTTTCTGCAGTTTTTTTATTTTAAATTAAAAGTAAGTCTTTAAAAATTATCGATATTAACTAAAATTTAACATTTTATTTTATTTTGTACACTATATAGCGATATTGTGTAGCTGTAGTTCAGCCTGTTTTTGTAGTTATTTTGAATCTGTTTGCTTATTTTGTGCCTCTGTGGTCTCTCTGTTGTCACTAATTCTCCTTTTGAGAAACAGGCGCCATGGGGCCCCTGACCACCAAGGCCTTGGACTACAACCTGTGTCCAGCAGGCCTGTTCAGTGATCCCTCCATCAGAATAGCATGAACGCTATGTGATATACCACCATAGCTGCCTCTTTTTCTGCTATTTCCTTATAGTTTTCTATGCCTTTTTCCCCTTGCAGCAATGATCGGGTTGTTGTATCCCTGCATCGACAGCCGTCTTGGTGAGCCACATAAGTTCAAACGGGAATGGTCCAGCGTGATGCGGTGCGTGGCAGTGTTTGTGGGCATCAACCATGCCAGTGCTGTATCCTTAAAGCGTTCAGTTTGAGTGTTTTGCTGCTGTCTTCAATGCTTGTGTTTAGAAAGGGGAAAAAACCCAGTCTGTTAAAAGCCCCATTTAGACAGGGTTATCATTACAGAGGACACAAAATTGCCAAACTTAGTAAAATTGCAGAATGTGGTCTTTAATAGACATGGATGGGCAATCTAACAGAACAAAACACAAAAAAGTAGCTGTAAATTAACATCCGTAAATCCACTTACAAATCATCTTACATTTTCAGCATCTCTGTAATTCATTGGTAGCTGTCTTCACATCCATCCATATGTTACAAACAGGAACTGCAGGTAGATAGTTCAGTCACTTTAAGTGACATCAATTTGACTAAGTGTAAACAAATGCAGAGTAAAATGAGGCTCAAAGAGCTGATGTTTAACAGCATGTAAATGAACTTAATCAGGTAACTCCCCGGATGCTCCAACTTCATTCATGTGTGGTATTGGTTCCCAAATGTTTCCATTTCCAGATTGACAAAAACATATGCACACTGTCTCCATTTTCATACAAAAGAGTGTCACCCTGAGCACATGAAATGCAGAAGAAGGAAAAAAAAAACTCAGATTCACTGTAAACTTGTTGGTTCAGATGGGATTAAAGGAGGAGCCGGATGTTTGTGGAACACTGCCATTTTCACTCTATTTCAATATTACTGGTAAGGGCATAAAACATGACTTACATTCCCTCTGGATTGGATTAAAGTCACTGCCCTGGAGAGGTAATATTATAATATCATCCCATTCTTAGAAAGAGATGAATCCTGTCTTAATCAGTGGCATCTGGGTAGGAGACAGTTTTCCCTTAGTGTCAATGTTGCCAGTGATTTGTGTGCACTGTCTTATGCCAGTATTTAATCGAAGAAATGCAGTTAAATTGCTTTCATTGGTTCAATGACTACCTCTGTAAAAAGTAGAGCTGTACATGTACCTTTAAACTGTTGTAAACAAAAGTTTAAATACACATGTATGCCATGGCAGTCTGGAGGTTTAAATGACTCTTACAACTCCTAATTTTCTATGATTCAGGGAAACACATTTGTCTTTGTCACAAAAACAATCACACAATTTTGGTTCTTTAATGGGTTTAATTCTTCTGGAAATATGACACAATCTGCTGGGTCAAAAATATACATACAGCAACTTGAATTATCAGTTATTGTGATGTCCAGAACTGTGTTTATCAAATTTCTTAGTGGAATGGCTTTTAACTTTTCTGGAATGAATTGACTACAGCTACTGACTCTTCTGATTCAGTTTAAATAGAACCATCTGATCCACTCATTATACTCAGACACAAACACTGCAGTGGTTATGGGGGCATTATTGTAGCAAAACTATTTGTCCATGCGTATGGAGAGTTGTCTGTATCTCAATCCCTTCGTCCGAAGTGAGATTTGTCAATGTGTAAAAGAAGTTGTCAATGCTGTCTGTCTGTAATTGGGTATTCAAATGTGTAAAAAATCTGCTCATCTGTCTTAAAATTTATACATGTAGTAAGAGTTGTCAATACATACAAAGAGTTGTCAATGCGTACAAAGGTATTAGAAGTTAAAAAATCTACATATTCAAATACAAATGGTGAAAATACAGACAAATCACCAGTTACGAGTCAAGCGGCTTCACCATTGGCTGTCTTTTTCCACATGACTTTTGCTACACTTCTACCGTGAGAGAATCTGAAACTTAAGAGCATCAGAAAATCAGGGTTTTTGTGTCCAGAGCTCAGGCTCACAGGATTGTCCGTTGTGGCTGCTACTGCTCTGCTGCGCTCTACCTCAGTAGTTATCAGGCGGCGTTGTGCATCAGAGTCTTTGAGTGTACGCCACACAACGAAAGAATCCCGACAGGTATATGTAAACAAGCAAACTCTTCAATGCTAGTGCTACTTCATGAAAGTTTTTGCACAGCGACCCATAAACTCAGCAGTAACTTGTTCACTTATACCTGTAATATTATATTTTTAGAAGGCTCAACAATTGCCTCACTAACTATAAAAACTGCAAAAAAACACTAACATGAGCTCACTGTGTGCGGTCGGGATTCCATTGTTTTCTGCGTCCTGCCTCACAATGTCACGTACGCTCAAAGACTCTGATGCACAGCGCTGCCTGATAACTACTGAGGTACAGAGCGGGAGCAGCCACAATGGACAATCCTGTGAGCCTGAGCTCAGGACACAAAAAACAGATTTTCAGATACTCTTAAGTTTCAGATTCTCTCACGGCAGAAGTGTAACAAAATTCATGTGTAAAAAGACAGCCAATGGACAACTCTTTGTACGTACTGACAACTCTTACTACATGTACAAATTTTAAGACAGATGAGCAGATTTTTTACACATTTGAATACTTAATTACAGACAGACAAATTCCAGTTCGCATTGACAACTTCTTTTACACACTGACAAATCTCACTTCGGACAGACAGATTGAGATATGGACAGACAACTCTCCATTCGCATGGACAAATAGTTTTGCTACAATAGTGCCCCCATAAGTGGGAAAGTCTGAGGAGCTTGGCAAAGATCTGGAAAAGAACATCATTGATTTGAAGTAGTAAGTATGAAGTTCATGGTCCAGTTGAGAGACGATTGGTCAGGATGGTCAAGAGTCAACCAGGAATCAGCAGAAAGCAGCTCTGGATGAATCAGAAGCAGCTGGAACACAGCTGCCATTGTCCACAGGGTTTTACATCAACATGAGCTGAGAGGCTGATGAAGAAGGAAGTTCTTCTTCTAGAAGCAGAACCTTAAAGCTCCATTGAAGTCTGCTGCTGGTCACATGGACAAAGGAAAGGCCTTCTGGAGGAAGGTTCTGTGGTCAGATGGAACAAAAACTGAGCAGAAATATGTCTGGAGGAGAGAAAGTGAGACCTTTAGCCCCAAGAACACCAAACCTACCATCCAGCATGGTAGTGGCAGCATCATGCTCTAGGGCTGGTCTGCTGCCAGTGGAACTGGAGCTTTACACAAAGTCAATGGAACAATGAAGAAGGAGAATTACCTCCACGTTCTTCAGGAAAACCTAAAATCGTCAGCAGGAAGATTGGGTCTTGGATGTCCCGAAAGTCCTGACTTAAACCCATCAAGAACCTGTGTACTGTGCTGAAGAGATAAGTCTTTGTCAATAACTGCACCATTTCTGTCAAGAGGAGTGGTCAGAGGTCTACCAGAAGCTTGCTAGTAGCTTGTGGATGGCTACCAAAAGCAGTTAATTGAAGTGAAAATGGCCAAGGGACATTTAACCAAATATTACTAGTGTTGTATGTGTATTATAGACCCAGCGGATTTTGTCATATTTCGAGAAGACTTACAATAAATCTATGAAACTCTAGACTGCCATGATACACATGGTCTTTCCAAGTGCATGTAAAACCTTTGTTCACAATTGTGTATCTACAGCACAGTTATGTAAATAAAGCTTGGATCTGCCAGCCACTGCCTTGACCACTACCTCTGGCAGAAAGTGGACTTTGCTAACAATGTCCAGTTGTCTCTGACTCTGGCGGCGCTCTCCATTGGTCTGTGGTGGACATTTGACCGTTCCCGCAGTGGCTTTGGCCTGGGAGTCAGCATCGCTTTGCTGGCAACACTGGCTACACAGCTCCTGGTTTACAATGAAGTCTTTCAGTAAGTTCCCTCAAACCTACTCTGTGTATATGCAGTTGAGAAATAAATGGATGGCAATTTGACAACAATGCTGAGGTGAAGCAAATTGTATAACATATTTTCTGGTAACAAAGCAATTTTGTGTCGCACAAAGTAACACAATTAACAAATAATGCTGTACTTGTTCTAATTGTCCTTTTAAAACTTCTCAGTTTAAGAGATTTTAAGTGTATTATGTTTTGGTTCATCTTTTATTTAACAGTCAATCCAAAATTTGCAGTGCAAGACAATGTTGCAAGTTAAGCTTTGGTTTGATTTAAAGATGACTCTGTGCTTCCTCTGTGCCCAGGTACACTTCTCCAGATTTCCTGTATATTCGCTCGTGGTTACCCTGCATCTTCTTCGCAGGGGTTATAACTATGGGAAACATAGGACGGCAGCTAGCCTTGGTAAGAAATTGGAATATTTTCACCACATGTGTTCTGCCAAAATTGTGTTGATATACTATACATAGATATAGATATATTTATACGGGTTTCTTAAGGTGAACTGTAAACCAAAGAATTTTAGTAGGCGTCAGAGTGGCATCAGTGTAGTCCAGAGAATGAGGCTGTGAAGGTGGATTCACCTGCCGTGTATCTAACAGTTCTTCTGCTCTTCTTGTTTGCATTCAGTATGAATATAAATTCCTTCAGGAGAAGATCCATCAGGACTGAGGGAGGTTTTGGCTTCATCAGGCCTCTGCTCAAAATGACTTTGTCTTCGCACCATTGTGAGGCCAGAGACAGGTTATCAGAGAACTTTTGCAAGCAGCGTAGACCAGAGTGAGCTGGCCCTGGACAAGCCATTCGGGTCATGCTTACTCCTGGGCAAGACAGTATTTTTGATTGGCTCCCGTCAGGCCTCGCAAAGATCATGGCAGCTGGCGGCTACATTCCACCCTGAGCAAAGGAGAACAATGAGAGTATATTTTGTCTCTTTTTTTCCTATGGTGCAGTTTATCTCTGCATACCTGGAAAGAGATTAGTGTCGAAGCAGCTATCGGTCTTCAAATCAGCACGGATGTTTCAAACCTTTGGCTCCATTGTGCCAAACATAGTGAAGCAGGATCAGTTTTTAAGTCTGCTCTTATCTCCTGATTTTTTCCACATCCTTCACGTATCAGTGGAGAACACACAGCCTAGTTAATGTATGTCTACAGAGATATGCATCTATGTCCCAGACCCTTTATTGTATGTAATTCACTTCTATCTACTTCTGCATTTCCTTGACAAAGGAATGACGATGGGTACTGTATGCAAATCTACCCTGGCTGTGAGGACTCAGGGTGTTCAGTGTTCACCTGTGTGAGGTGTTTCTCTCAGCCACACCAGGCCTGTTTGTCACCAACATGTACATTATCATTCCAAAGAATGAAGGGATAAATGAAGCTCTATAGGCTTTAATTAGAAGTGAAAGTAATGTTTGGAAGAAGAAATTGTTTTCATCCATAAGTGAACACTTGTTAGTCAGTCATATCTTAATAAATACTGTTTTTGTTTCTGAAAGCAACACTTGGCCATTAATGTCTTTGTAGCCTTTTCAGTTTCTTGCTAAGAATAAGCAAAACGCAGCATTTGCTTTCCCCAAAACAGCAGGAATGCCAAAATTTTCCAGGCTATTTTCTTCATGGAGCTAAAACATTACATTGTGTTGGAAGACCTAAAGCATAATCTAGTAGATGGTGGCGAGAGGTCCTTCGAAGTTAACATGGAATCAGATAAATTCTCTTGGGTGTGTGTGTCAAGATTATATGTATGATGCTATATAACAAAATGTATTAGCTTAATATTTATCGGTAATGCTCGCTGGCTTAGAGCTTACACCATATAAACTGGACAACTATAGGCAGTTTGTGTTCTGTTTTCCCTGATAGTGTTGTGAATCGGAGGTATTTTTGTCCATCAGTTAGTCCGTTAGGCTTGTCTCTGGATTTATTTTCATGCACATTAATCTACAGTACTGCATATTTTCCTTTACTCTGAGGTTAGATAATTAACTCTTCGATGTGTTTGTTCTGATTGTAATGCATACATGCCTGTAAATATGGTGATTAGCAGTGTTAAATTCTTGTTGCATATATGCAGCATGTTTGTTGGATTGATGTATTGATAAACCACCTTTTAGGAATTAACAAATACAAAAAACCCACTTGCAGAATATACACAGTGAGCACTTCTGTATCTGTAAGTGAGCATATAAGAAGATAATTTAAGCAACAGTTTCTTCATGATGAAATACGATGTGATTAGCTACTATCAAAGCTGTCTAAATGTTTCCTGATGTAGGTTAGATGATATGGAAACCATGATGGAGAAACCTTTTTAATACTTTTTTGGAGTGAAATGTTTTTTAACAGACCTGTAGCAACTGTAACTCTTATTTTTGTAAAACATGACAACCATGTGTTTGCGTTATGAGTTGTATTACAGTCAAAAAGGGATGAACAGTTCTACTCAGGAAAGCAAACTCTTAAATATGAACATGTGTGGTTTTGGTGAAATAAAGACAGAATTTTTGGTAACTGGTTTCTTCTTTGAGCTGATATGTATATTTTACTTCTTGATAGTACAATGAGCAATTAAACAGCAGTAGGAATTATATCCATCCATTATCTCCTACACCTTAATCCTTACTAGGGTCACAGGAGGCTGGAGTCTATCCCAGCTGACATAGGGCGAAGGCAGGTTCACCTGGACAGGTAACCAGTCTATCACAGGGCTACACTTAGAGACAGACAACCAAGCACACTCACATTCACACCTATGGACAATTTAGAATCACCAATTAACCTCAACATGTTTCTGGACTGTGAACACGAAGAGAACCCACGCTGCACGGGGAGAACATGGAGACTCCACGCAGAAAGATCCCAGGTGTCCTCACTGGGACGAACTGGGGACTGTCTTGCTGTGAGGCGACAGTGTGAACCACCAAACAAGAGAAAATGTACTGCCAGTAGTAGAAGTGCTGGATTTTCTTCTTTATAGCAAGAGCTACTGTTGTCATGTGATCATATGACTGAATGTTGTGCCATTGAAAACCTCTTTGACAAAATGGCAGCAATAACACAATATGCCACAAAATCAGGATGAACCTGCACCAAAATCAGAGAGTAGGGACAGGTGAAGTGAATAGAATTAGTCATCATGTTGTAACGCAGCGTTGGTCTTGGGAACTTTTGGTTCTGCCATTCATGTGGATGATACTTGTACAAGCTCCTTTGCATTGCTGTCGACCAAATGCACCTCCATCTTTGCAACAGCGCTCCTGCTGGCAGTGGTCTCCCCAATTGCACCATTGCAACACCTCAAAAACTGTTCAGGGATGGCTGCAGGAACATAACATAAAAAGGCAAACGATTTGACCTGAACACCAAACTCCCCGAATGCAAATCTGATCCAGACATCTGACCCACCGTGAACATCACGGTGCTGGACGCTACGGGACACTCCCAGAGGTCCCGGATGGTAATGGTAAATGGACTGCACTTATATAGCGCTTTTCTACCTTAGCAGCACTCAAAGCGCTTTACAATGTGTTTCTCATTCACCCATTCACACACATTCATACACCAATGGTGACAGAGCTGCCATGCAAGGTGCTAGCCTGCCATTGGGAGCAACTTTGGGTTCAGTGTCTTGCCCAAGGACACTTCAACTGTGGAGGGGTGGGGGATCAAACCACCAACCCTACAATCAGAGGACAACTGCCCTACCACCTGAGCCACAGCTGCCCTGATCCGTGACCTCATGGGTCAAGGCTGTACTGCTGGTACAAGGAGGACCTATACAACATTCAGCTTAGTTCCCTCAAGTAAGGGCCTTAGAAGATGATATAATTTCTTTATTTTCATTGACAAAAAGTCGTTTGTGTTTTCTCTTGCCTCCTGTTTATTTTCTAGTTTTGTCCATCTACCAGTTTAAAAATCAAATATGTTTGTGTGGATATTTTTAATGACCAATAAGATTTTGGCTTGAAAATTGAAAACAAATAAAACTCCCAAACAAAACAGTTGCCGATTTACTTAATGTTCTAATGAGTTAATTTATAATTCATTATCATAGCCCCTACTTTATTTCATTACTGTTAATTGTTTGATTTGCCTTTTATTTTCTTCTGCTTAGTAACAATCACATTTATTACACCTTTAGTAATTATCGCAATATACAGCTGGAAAGCACTAAAATGTGTTATGTGATGAAGAAACAGGTATTAAATTACATTTTATGTGTTGTTTAAAAGGTCTTAGGTTTAACAAAAATCTTGAATACAGTCAGATTAAGATATAATCAGACAAATAATTCCGAAACTGTCGCTCAAGAAACTGTTGAAATCTCTGCAATTCCTATTATTGCCCCAGTGCCATAAAATGGCACAGTGACCCCAAAGTTGAGCAGTTATTTTCCCAGACTTTGACAACAAATTGTAATGACGAGGAGGCCTGATGAATGTTTTACAGTGCATTTCCCAAACAACTTCCCTTATCTCAGTGGTTCTCAAATGTTTTCTGTCAGGCCCCCCTTCGGAGGACAAAAATCTTTCGCGCCCCCCTCACCTTAAATAGTCATGAAATGAGCCAGTTTAAATTTACTTAAATTAAATATCATGAGCAGTCAAAAAGTGCAGCAACAACTTGCTCAGTGATCAGTAAAAGTAACAGGGTTTTTGTAGTTTTGTAACTTTTGCTGCCTCTTGGCCAGGAAGCCCTTGTAAAAGAGGTTTTTAATCTCAATGGGTTTTTCCTGGCTAAATAAAGGTTACATAAAAAATAAAAAAGGGGGGGGATAACCTTCAGTTTTGTGGTTCAGTTTTTCTCATCAGTCATTGTTGACACCATATCAAGAGCAGTGGGGAGTAGGAGATCCTCAGCTGTTGGATGTGGTTTCTTGCGATTCTGTTACAGGGCTCCAGACCAGGGGTGTCCAATCCTGGTCCTTGAGGGCCACAGTCCTGCATGTTTTAAATGTTTCACTCTTCCAACACACCTGATTCAAATGATCAGGATCGTTATCAGGCTTCCACAAAGCTTGATGATGAGCTGATCATTTGAATCAGGCGTGTTGGAAGAGGGAAACGTCTAAAACATGCAAGATCGTGGCCCTCAAGGACCAGGATTGGACACCCCTGCTCCAAACTAACTTGGTAGCACTGGTGTTACCATCTTTCTTCATTGGTCGCACCAGCTAACGATTTGATCGCCCTACTCCCTTATTTTGGATCAGCCACAGCTATTAATGCATCATGCAGCTGATGAATAGCTGTTTTTGCATAACTTAGTTATGTGGCAATGATCTTCAGTGATACAAGACTAAATATTTGTAAAATGTTTTCACCTTAAAATATATTTATTTTGTCACCAATCTTCTTCTGATTCCAGTCATTAACTGGACACAGGCTAAACAATTGCTGAAAGTGCCCATGGGTAGATGGTGCATTTTATCGATGTTCCCTGAACGCCTCACATTCTGCTCCGGTAGATGCTTCATTGTACCATAGACTGTATAAAAGATGGACGTAGCAACCAGCCCTGAAAAATGAAGCCAACCCGGAAGTGTCAAAAACCTGCAATATCACTCTGTCCGCTAGTCCTGTCTTCAAAAAGCCCTGGCTCCCATAGACTCGAATTGGAAAAGAAGTGATCACAGATCATGAAATACTACATTCCTCCAGCTCAGGATTTTTTTCTTATTAGTTTTCATAGTCAAATCCAGAGATCAGGTGGCCAATCTGAAAATAAATCAATACTGAATTTTTTTTACAAATCGTCAAAATTTTGCGGGGTAAGGGGCGTGGCTGGCTTGATTGACAGTCGACAGCGACCATACAGATGAAGCGAGCAGGAGGCGGTAAATGTGGGCGGGCAGAGAGGACCTGCCTCTCAATTCGTCTGACCAATTGCTGCTCCTATGGCTCCGCCCCCCCTCCGACGATTTTTGCGTCACTGGCTCCAAAAATTCAAGATGTCAACCAGGAAGTAGCAAAACTTCATTTGCTCAGTGCAGAAACCAACGGGTGACGTAACGGCAGCTACGTCCATCTGTTATACAGTCTATGCATTTTACCAATGTTCCCTAAACGCCTCACAAAAGTGTCAAAAACCCGCTAGTTGATGGCTCCAAAATGCCCTGGCCCATAGACTTGAATTGTAAACGAAGTGATCACAGATCACGAAATACTGCTGTCCTCCAGCTCAGGATTTTCTTTCTTTCGTTAGTTTTCATAGTCAAAACCAGAGATCAGGTGGCCAATCTGAAAATAAATAAATACTGATTTAAAAAAGAAAAAAATCGTCAAAATTTTGCGGGGCAAGGGGCCTGGCTGGCTTGATTGACAGTCTGGTCAGGAATGATTGACAGGTCGTAGGGAAGAGGGAGCCTGGAGTCTCGTTCACCTTAAACTCAGGTCTCCTCCTCGTTTGGATTTACTTCTGATATAATTAACTGTTGAATTGTCGTTATTTACCCGGGGTAGCAGCACATTTTCTACTAAGTTTTACTTCCCGCTGGCTGGTTTTAACCAGTTTTCAGTTCACCGTAATTCGGACCTTCGGCTGAACCAGACACTGAAAGGATCCGTTGGGTCAGTAAATTAGTATTTTCTTATTGGTGCCGGTTTTAATGCACTTTAACTGCAACCTTAGCCTCAGATGTAATGTGTGCAGTAAACTCCAGATGTTGGTTCAATTTATTTCTGTGTGTATTGACCAGAGAAGAGAGTTAGCATCCAGTAAATATTAGCTTTAATGTGAATTAGCGATGCTAACCGAGCCAGTTGACAGTCGTAGCCTGGTTGAAGCTAAACGTAGCAGCATCAAGCTAACGATGTGTGTGGTGTGTTTCATGTAATCAGCTGAAGTGTGTTGTGTTGCTGTGATGTGATACACTGTGTGAGTTAATAAAACTATCCTTGGAGACGCTGGTTCACGTTAACGTAACGTTTAGGAAACTTAAATGTGATTAAAACAGCAACGTTAATGTTCTGTCAGTAGTCCCGAATATCTGCTGTCTGGTGTTTAACTGATGAAACTGTTCATCTACACCCTGATCTTTAACGTGTTGTTGTTTAATGACTGATGCACATGTTGTAGTTCTTCTGACTGCAGACGGTAGATGGAAGAATAAACACCCAGAATAATACCAAAGTAGTGACTGACACTACAGTTAAATATAACATTTGAAATACAGCACAGTGAGGGGGAAGAAGAAATAAAATCTTATTTCCTAAGTGTGAAGCAACTGCAGGTCTTTCTTTCTTTAGGTGCTTTAAAAACTATGTATGAAACAGGAAATGTGTCCAGGGTTAATTTAAATGAACTGACGCTGTGATGTCTGTCTTCACCTCAGGTGTGTCTCATGTCCACTGAAGATCTTCTGAGTGAAGCCAGCAGAAGGAAATCCTCATCTTAAGCCATTCATCTGGTTGTGAAGGAGACTGAATGGACATCATACTCAGTGAACCACTTCCAGTTCAGCTTCCACTGACAGAAGGACAGAGCAGCAGTTTGCTATTCTCTGTTCTCAG